GTTTCACGGGGTGCCTTTCTTCTTGGCACAGAAAGGGACACCGTGCGGCAGTAGTCTGCTCCGCTAGACTACCTTCCGCCTTTTCTCGGTCGCGTCGGGACGAAAGAAAATTTGATTGCAATTTTGTAGAAAGCTTACAATTGAGAATTTGAATACATTGAAAGTAAATTGAACATTGATTGCTGAAAACTGAACATTACAATTGATGAAAGCAGAAAATTACAAATGCTGGTGCAGGGGGCGGACACCAGTGAGCTTGAAAGATTTTTGAATGACTAATACCCCCTATAATAGCATTCTGAACAAAAACCCAAGTGACGGGAGTAGACGTTTAAAAGACGAGGAATCATACTAATCTTTTACCAATATCAGAGCTATTTTACAATTAAAATAACTATTACAATGAAACGAAAATTACAACTCAAACTTGAAGTAATATTTACAATGTGCGGCCGAAGTTGGGCAAACTGCGGCTGCGATAGTGTCAAGGGGCTAAGTAAAGCTGCGGTCCTTGACACTAGGTCACGGAGTTGAAGTGGAACATACCCATGGATTGATGTTGAGACAAAGGTGTCCACCTTGCGAATCAAGATGAAAGTGCCTGTGGCCAGGAATTTCGGCACTCCAGGCCGGACTGAAAGTTATGTTGCATCAGTAACCACTAAGATTAGCCACGCACGCTTAAAGTTGGTTCTAATTTGGTTCGAGCACCGGTCTAACGGTCGGAACGAAAACAAAAGCAAAAAACATTAATGACATGGAAAATATTACCTAGAAAAGAAAATATTTTCCATCTTTTGTGGAAAATAAAAACCACCTCTACCCAAGGAAAATATTTTCCTTAAAAACAAGGAAAATTAGGCATATTTTCAAAATTTGGAAAATATTTTCCATGGAAAAAAATAGCAATCAAACACTCAAAGTGAAAATTTGGATGGAAAACTGATATTTTCCATGAAAAATAAATGTAATCAAACACACCCTAATAATTTCTTGTATTAATTTTGAAGTGATTCTTTCAAGAAGCACCTCCTCTCTGACCCTTCGCCTTAAATTTCACCCCTATAACGACAAAAAAATGAGACGAAACCGCGAGCTACACCGAGTCAAAAAGGGTTTCTGACAGTAAAACAAAGAAGAGGTAAGTCGGGGAAGTGAGAGGCCAAAGGTTAGGGTTTGAGTTCCGGGGGAAAAAAAATAAAAACAAAAGAAAATTATCTTCATTTGACATTGTCTTCATACCAGAAGAAGTCTAATTCTTGTGCTCTGACATTCGGATTATACAATCCCATTTAAGGTAACCCATCTCAGATTCAATTAAAAAAGATCTCCCTTTTTTGTGTTTGTCTTTCTGCGTCAACTATTCAATCTTGTTATTCCTGTTGTTCTGTTTTCGTCGTTAAATAATTAAACTTGGATCTGGGAGATTAAATATTCGATCTTGAAGTCTGAACTTTTAATCTTAGCATGCCATTGATTTTTTAAGTTTAGAGTGTCTGGCAAATGGTATTTTAACTTACTATAGAATCTGCAATTGTACTGGAAATTTTTGATTATTGGTTTATTTTACATGAATTGGGCTTTGGGTTTGGTCGTTGAATTAGCATTTTAGTATTGGGTTATCCGATTCTTGGGTATTCAAGCTTAGGTCAATACGAGGCTTTTATTTGAAACCGAGTTTAAAAATTCTGACATTTTGGGCATTTCAGGCGTGTCATGAATGTGCTTAGGGTTTGCATCAGGTTTTTGATTGAGTTATGATATTGTGGTAGTGACAATTTTGGCATCGTTACCATGGTTGAAACGGGGGAATCTTCTGAGTCAAATCTCGGATTGGTGAGGAGTGTTTCTTTCCGTGAAGAGGAAAATTTTCATCGGCAGGCCACTGGTTTTGGGGCCAGTGGGTCAAGGAATACAAGTCCGCTTGGTCGGATGGGGTCAAGGAATACAAGCCCTTCTAGGCAGAAGGGGATTAAGACTAAACCACGGGGTTTAGATGAAGAGACAGTGTCCACGTTTAGTAAAGCCATACAGCCTGATGTCCAGATGGAAGATAACATATGGGCCATGCTGCCAGAAGATTTATTGAATGAAATCTTAGCTAGGATTCCTCCTTTCATGATTTTCCGGCTCCGCTCTGTTTGTAAAAGGTGGAACTCGATTTTGCAAGACAATAGTTTTTTGAAGTTTCATTCTCAAGTGCCCTCTCATGGGCCTTGCCTTTTGACATATTGTAGAAACTCGCATACCCCTCAGTGTTCAGTCTTCAGCATGCCTTTAAAACAATGGTTCAGGATACCCTTTACGTTTTTACCACAATGGGCATTTTGGTTGGTTGGTTCTTCAGGGGGTCTCGTATGTTTCTCAGGGCTGGATGGGTTGACATTCAGAACTTTAGTTTGCAATCCCCTGACACAAACTTGGAGGACTTTGCCAAGTATGCATTATAATCATCAAAGACAATTAATTCTTGTTGTTGATCGGAAGGATCGGTCTTTTAGAGTTATAGCTACCAGTGATATTTACGGTGATAATTCTTTGCCCACAGAAGTATATGATTCAAAGCTTGATAAGTGGTCACTTCACCAAACTATGCCTGCTGTAAATCTCTGCACCTCAAAGATGGCATATTGTGACTCAAGGTTGTATCTGGAAACTCTTTCCCCACTTGGTTTGATGATGTATCGGCTGGATACAGGACAATGGGAACACATACCAGCAAAATTCCCGCGGTCTTTGTTGGATGGGTATCTAGTAGCAGGCACTCAGAAACGTTTGTTTCTAGTTGGAAGAATTGGCCTTTATAGTATGAGGATATGGGAATTGGATCATACAAAATTTGTCTGGGTTGAGTTAAGTCGGATGCCTCTACGGTATTTTCGAGCTCTTCTTAGATTATCTGCAGAAAGATTCGAATGCTTTGGACAGGATAATCTAATATGCTTCACATCTTGGAACCAGGGGAAAGGTCTTCTATATGATGTTGATAAAAAACTGTGGTCTTGGATTGCTGGTTGTGCTCTTCAATCATACAACAGCCATGTTTGTTTCTATGAGCCGAGATTTGATTCCATGATTTATTAATTTATTTCTCGGTTTCTGGTTCAGGAAATTGGTAATCGAGAGATTATGGGTGGCCATGATATTTTGTTTATATTTTTCTTCTTTCAATATCTTTCTACCCTTTTTTGCTGTTGTGCATCCTTGATGAAGATTATCTAAATTGTCATGTTATAACTTCACCTACTTGGTTGACATTCGACCTTGTTCCCTCCTTGAGGTTTACTAGCTGAAATCAGAATCATGCAAGTGCTCTTGAAGCTGGGCTTTGATAATATCTCTTCGATTCAGTTCTTAATTCCCGGTTGTTACAGGTTTTGGTTGGTACGAGCAGTCTTCTGTGTACTGAATTACTTATGAAATGTGGCTGCATTATGGGCTTGTGCCCTGTGGTAACATCTCAAGCACAACTAGTAGAAACTAATGATTTTGCGTAGCTTATGCACTTGAATACTAGTATAAATTGCCATTCTCTGATCTGTAACGACTGATCCTCTTTTCTTTAACTGCCATAATGAGCCATTGATCCAGTTATGTAGTATCTCTTCTTGACATACCGAGTTTATGTGTTTTTTCTGTGCACAATCCTTCTGCTGATATGTTTTCCCTCTCCAAGTGTAGAACTATATCATTTCATTTGTCCTTGAATGGTAGTTGGGGCATCTGGTAAATTGCTCGTACTAATTTAACTACAAACTTTTATTACTTTGCCGTGATGTTATTTTTTCATGCTCGAGTTAGTTTGGACTTAGAAGGGTTTTATGTAGCCTTAGATTCTTTATTACAAGGTTTAGCTCGCACGAGAACCCTGCTTATGGTGATTATGGTTATGCTGCAACATTGTGGTTTGGCACTTACCGGTGTATATATTTTTCTATCCATTTCTCTTAATTCCTTTTATCTGATTATTAATTCTGTAATATCTTTAACTTATAACGTGCAATTTAGTTTAGATACTCTTGTTTGTTTTAGAAATAAATGTAAAATATTTTGAATTTCAATTTGGCGCTCAATCGACGGGTTCCCAAGGGGCCATTTGGATGGCTTGAAATGTGTATATAAACACTGCTGCCTACTTTTATTTTTATTTATTTATTTTCTCTATGATCGTTATAAGATTCAACACCGGTTTGGTTTAACTAAATATTAGTGTTTAGTAAATTTTGATAACAATTGACGAAATGTGGTTGGAAGTTACAAGTTATTTTATGAAATGTGTGATTGAAAATGTGTTTGATTCTCTTGTACAATGCGTCCCTTCTAATCGGAAACACAGAATACATGTTTTATTGTCCTAAATTGGATGTATTTAGTAGGAGTAATGCTATGTAATTTCACTGGAATTGCAACCTCAGTGTAGGTGGCATTAGATGATAGGTCAAATGAAAGGTTAAATAAATGAGTTATTTAATTTCACCTATCAATTAATGTCACATTAGCGCCACCTAGACTGGAATTGCAGCTTCAGTGAAGTTAAATAGCATTAATCGTTTAGTAGATGGTAGTATGTTTCTTCCGTCTTTCCATGTTCCTATAGACAAGAAAACAATATGAATGTTATCAAAACAGGAATCTTGTCTTGATTTTGCAAAATCGTACGGTGTGGTGGCATATTTCTGTCCCGAAGATCAAATTATAATATCATGAATTTTGATTACCGAGACATGTATGGGAGACATGTCATCGGTCAGTAATTTCATCCACGAGTCTCACCTTCCATTCCTAGAGCTTCACATAAACTAACCGATCAAACGATCGGGAGAAACATTAATTCATGCCAATACATGGGGATGCCTTTAAAAGTTACTTCTGAATCTCTGATAGTGAGAAATAGTTTTTGATTATGTTGGATAGTTTTTTAAAATTACCGTGCCTGATTAGAAGAGTTTTCAAAGAAAATTATTTTAAAAATGCATTTTGCAATGCTATTACGATGGAAAATGTATTGTTAAAAAATAAGAAAAAAGTTTTGAGTTTGTATGTAATATTATTTTATTGAAGAATGTATAATTGAAAAGGAGTCAAATCACTGTTCGAAAATGCATTTTGATAGAAAAAGTAGTTTATTGTAACTTCTTTAAAAATTCTTTCATAAGAAACAAAAGCAAAATTAGAATTCTATCAAACAGATCCTATAGAGTGTTTGATATGATGTAGTTGTCTTATAAATTGGTTGTGCTATCGATCCAAATCATCGAAGATCGACTTGTATTGTGGAGGTAAAATTTTTGAGAGCAAAGTATCGTAGTTCCCAAGATATTACAAGAAACATGTTACAAGTCCTCGTGTCTCAACCTCATTACGCTAAACCTACCTTAGTGTTTTGTTAGCTGTAAAAAGAGCAAGTGGTAATTATTCTACGAAAAATAAGTTACCCACCCACGTTCTAGTAGCTCTTTATTTGATGCTGCTAATGTTTCTACCTTGTAATCTGCAAATTCAAACTCACCCCGGAAATATTTTAGAACCCTGTCCTTACTGTCATTTGAATTAAAACTTAGACAAAGCTGCATTTTCACATAAATTTAACAACCAAATCTTACACAGAAATAATAAATTATTTTCAAGTTCAGATTGAGTTGAAAAGATGTTTAGAATACTCTTCAGACTGAATTATAGGCACGTAAAGCTCTACTGAATTATAGGCATGTATAGCTCTACTGAATTATAGGCAAGTACAGCTTATGTATATGAGCCAATACATTTTGTGGAATAGTAGGTATAATCGTTAGTCTTATTCCCAATAAATTTGAAGTCGACTATATAAAATTTTCTTTTAGACATAGTACGGTCAACCAGCTTGTCTTATAAACACCGCCCTTGTTTCTTTAATGCAGTGTGCTGCTATTTTTCATAATATATAAGGAAAAAGCAGTTATTGGGACTCTAGCTTTGACTCAGGTTTGAACTTTGAACTCTATAAAAACCCATAATGTGTACTCTCTGCTTCTCCCTTTCAGTTGGTGAACAAAAATAATTTTCAAGAACAACAAATTTCGGACAAATGGCATCTGTAAATTTTGCAGGATTAATACGGTGTTTTATCTTCATTTTGCTTGCCCTGCATAGCCCTGCTGCAAATGGAAATGAAGGAACAGGAGAATATGTGTCTCTTCACCATGTAAGTTTCTTATTATTCCTTAGTTGATTTTTGTAAGTGTACTTACAAGTGGTAATAATAATTGTTGAAAATAATTAATGCAGGATGTTCATGAGGATACTTTTACTGCTCCTTTAGAAGTTACTGGAAGAAAAAATATAGGAGGAAGAAAATTTCTGTTAAAAGAATCGCCCATGCGCGAGGTCGAGAAAGAGCAAGGACACGAAAAACCATTAAGCGTTTCAGGTATACATATCGAGCCTTCTTATTCTGAATACGTTAATTTAAAATGAATCAAATCTGCCGACAGGTTTTAGTCCACGACGATAAATATTTTTCTGTACTCTGCTACAGGGAAAAATAGACCTACTTACCAGAAGAACACTGATGAAATATTCAAGCAAAAGAGACAGAAATCTGAAGGCATAGGGGCTCCAAGTGATCCCAACACTGGAAATGAAAACGTGTTTCACAAAAATAATCACAAGACTCGCGAAAAAGATGATTCACGTGCATTTCTTGATGCAGCAGACGAGGTTGTAAACCTGATGCGCAAGGACTATAAGGGTGCAGATAGGCCTAGCCGGAAGCCACCAATTCATAATCACGAGCCGACAGATTAAGAACGGATTACGAATAACGTACTTGTATAGGTTTAGACTTTACAATTTTGCCCCACAAGTGAAGTCACCTGACAGTAACAACTGTATTTTGTTATATGATTGTGTTTGTGTACTCTTTACTTAAAACTCATCGACTAGAAACTCGTTAACTTTGTACAATGTACACTATACAACTCTTTAAGCCTTTTTTTTTCGATCATTTAACTTCTCAAGTATGAACACTTTCTTTATGTTTCTAGAAATGCTCTTTAATGGAACTTTAGCTATAGCTGATCGTGACGAAGAAACAATCAGTTTCGGTTGGTGGGCCAGGAATGCTCTTTAATGGAACTTCAATGGCTTTGAACAAGAATGTTCTTTTCCTAGCACACGTTCTTTCAAATCTGTACGAGGTCTTTAATGTTTTTAGGAATGCAAACATAAGTACCATTGGTACAACGGGTTCCAACGACCTTATACACAGCTTCTGTTACATGAAAGCCATCCCAGAAGTAGTGTTCGTCCGGGTCCTGGCAAGCCGGCAGTAATGGAATGCAGACTGATGTCCCATTGGCCCATGTAATGCAGCATGGATTACTCGAGTCTTTTAAACCTGTAAATAGCAAATAATTTTTTTACGACAATTTGATAATTTGTACTAACTTCTCTGTGTGACAATAGAATTGGTTACCATAATTAGATGGATTTATGACGGCATCATAGCTAAGCATATGAATTCGACCAAGTATAAATTCCGAGTCTTGCAAGGTTGATGTCAAATTCTTAAGCAAGGTGGTAGCTGGTTGTTAAAGATCATTGCGAGCTGGTTAATCTTCTCCACGCATCGTCCACTGGGCTTAAATTTCCTTGTAACTGATGGAATGCATCCAGTAGGTCCAATTTCAAACATTATTATTTTCCTGGCTCCTATTTTGTACAGTCTCTGCACTCAAAACAAATACTTATACTCTTATGTTTGTTGTTTTTTGGATAGAGGAGAGATGTTACTACCCACATTATTTAGTCAAAAGTCAAGAGTTGAATTTTCAAAGTCAAAGTCACATAGGGACTTAAATGAAATAAATGATTTTATTAGGACTTGAATTGACTAAAATATTTTATTGGGGTTTATTTTGCAATTGATAATATATGAGGGTTATATTGGATACAATTGGAAGTTGAAAATTTACTTATATATTTTTGGGAAGTTTAGGATTTAAATGTTAGCTCATATTAGAGAAGAGGGACTTTTCTTGCAAATTGGAGTTAGTGGGTTTTTAATGCCTTTGACCATCACTTTTTCTCTCATGAATCACACACACACACACTAGAAGAAAGAAAGAACCGGCAGAGAAGAAGAAAAGAGGGAAAGAAAAGAGGGAAGAAAAAGAAGAAGAAGAAGGAAAAAAGGAAGAAGAGAGAAAGGAAAGAGGTAGTTCAAGGTTCATTTCCATTTTTCCTCTCTTTTTATTTTCTTCAAGAGGTAGATATATTTTATGTTAAATTCTGGGGTTTTATTTTGGCTCGAAAATTTTCAGATTTTTGAGAGGAATACTACTTGGAGCTCAAGTTATTGATTCTTGAATTTCTATCTACACTAAGGTAAGGAGATATTAATTTTTTTGGGCAAACCCTAGTTTTTAAATTTGATGATTGAGCATGGATTATTTGTGGAAATGATTATATAAATGGAATATTTCATTGGGGAGTTGATTTTATGAAACAAAATGTATATTAAATGGGTGGAATTATGGTTACTAGTTTCACTTGATTGGAGAGTAAAATTAGTTTTAAACTTGGAAAGAAGGTTATGTTGATAATTAGTTATTAGTCAAGGGATTATAAAGTGTGATTAGCTCCAATTAATAAAGGAAAATTTGAAAATTTATTCAAGTGTCACGAGAATTTAAATTAAGTTCTATTATTAGATATTAAGGTTTCTTGATTAGATAGAGGATAAATTGGTTATTAATATCGTATTTCAGGTGGTGACGAGGAAATTGAAAACGTATATCAGGCAATCTAGCTTGTAGCTCTTACCTTGTGAGTGGATAAAAATTATTTTTCAGAAATAAGTCTTCTTTTAATTTTAAGTTATTTATTTTTTAAAGTTGACTTCATAGCATGATTTTCAGAATAAAATGGATTTTATTATCAATTGCTTTTTAAGTTAAATTCAGGTTAGTTAAATTATTTTAGTAGCATGTTATATTCTTATTACATGTTTCAGTATACTTAAAGTTATTTCTTAAAATCATCAGAAAGTACCCAAGTGATTTTACCCCAGTTTGCATCGATGTGAATGTGTTCCAACAGTGTATGACTAGTTATAGTGATTTTACCCATTCTGCACTATCGTGAATATGTTTCCATAGTGTATGACCAGATTATCAGAGGTCTTTGGGACCCACTCTTGTACACACATAGGCTTTGGGCCGTGTACTAGGGTAATTAGCCTTTGGGGCAGCTCTGCGTATGTATGACGAGATTATCAGATTATCAGCTATTAGATTATCAGATTTGAATGGCTTGCCTTGTACATCGAGATTACTCTGTACATGTGTAAGGCTATTCATCGGGTACTCTTTTTGGTGTGATTTTTCAGTATTTATTCAGTTCTCAGATTTCAGATTATGGAATTCAGTTAATTCAGTTTTCAGAATAAAACTTTCAACTTTTAGTATTGAGTAGTAGCAATATTTCATAGATTTTCATGAATATCAGATTCTTTATAATTGTTATACCTTACAGATACTTATCTAGAAGTTAGAACAAAGAATTTTATAATGTAATCATGTTTAGTTTTTAAAGGCATTACTAGATTCAGAAATTCTCAAGAATTTAATAAAGTTAAAATTTTTAGAAAATATGCATAAATGGAAAAAGTTTACTTATTTGCAAATCATCCACTCACTGAGTTACAAACTCATATTTTTGTTATGTTTTTCCTATCAGGAGACCGTTGATTTTTGAGATACTTGGAAAAGCCTGCTGAAACAAAAGAGACCGTTTCATAGTATGTAATAAATAGTTGAGGGACTCATGTTTGTTACGTATTTTGTCTAATATTTGGGGTGTCATGCACTTTGTAGAATGGTTTGTAATTAATGTAATGCTTGCACGTAAACATGATGTTGTTGTAGAAGTACTCAGTCGAAATTTGTTATATTTGTTTTAGTTGTGGTGGTATTAGTGGAAGTGGTGTTTCCAAAACTTTTGGTTTGAATGTCTATTTGAGGTTTTGATGATTTTTCAGGTTGGTTTTGTCCATTTTTAAGGGGAAACTCTGTCAAAATTTCAATAGAAATTTAGCACAGTCAAATGAGGTCAAGTTTGCCTTGGTGGTGGGTTCGGCATTTAGCTGGCATCTACCATCGGCGCATGACACGTGTCGAGTCAATTAGGTTGAGTCGGGACGGATCGTGTCAAGAGATGTATATGCGTATTTAAGGATTGTGTTGTGGGCCATGCTCGGATTGACATTTGAGGGGCTCGATTGTAGAGGACCACGACCTGCATAGGTCTATCAATATTTATGGGGCCGTACCTGAAATTGTTGGGATAAATCCTCTATGAGACGTTTGGCAAATGATTGAGGATCATAACGGCGTTTTGGTGTTAATAACTGTGGTTTAATATAGTCGAGGTAGTCATTGCTGCCAATAGTAATAACAAACACTGATTTTGACAAATAATTTGAAACTTCGGATGAGGTTTTGTAGTGCTTGGGCAATTCCAGTTCAACCGTATGGTTAAATAAGTCAATTTGCTCAACGAAATTCAGGCATTTACCCTGCAACAATTCAAATAAAATTAGATTACATTATAACCAATGTATAGGGAAAAAAAAAGAAGTAATTTCCTACAGTTGAATTTCCAGTCTCAGGAAGAATGCCACTGGATGCTGGTGCAAAATTCAGCCCTGTCAACTCTGGTGATCCTCTTATACTCAGGTATGGAGGTGAATATGGCAATCCAAGAAACTCAGATGGAAAAGTCAAAAAAATGTATTAGAAATATATGCTAACTCATTGAAAAAAAATTAATAAAATAGGCATGGCTGATGGCCTGAAACGCTACCAACTAAATCAGGAAATATTTTTCTGTTCGTAAATCTTCCGGTGGCTCCTCCGTTAAAATCTACACCGTAGGGCGGAAAATTCGCCTTGGATAGAGTTGGTAAAAAATTATTATTCCCACTATTGAACAAAGAATCGCCAAAAATGTATAATGCAGGAGCAGCAGGAGAATCAGAATTCCCTGAAGATATATACAACAACAACAACATCAACATCAACATCATAATCAGAATTATAAATTTCTCCATTGCTTTTTTCTTTTCCGGTGCACGAAAGATCAGAAATGGTGTGCAAAGAGAAGCTTTTTTAGAGGACAGATAGGCATAACTTGAATATGAATAGAGTCAAATGCAATATGAATAATGTCATCTATCAGTAGTAGAGATTTCTTACAGGTTAGGTGACAATGGGTCATTCTTTTACTGTTCAATGGAGTTGTGATACATTATGTATTGGACAACAATTTTGCTACAAAGAGGCTCAATGACAGGAATTTAAACAGATACACACTCGTCACATTTTCATTTGCAGTCAAAAATAAATAAATAAATAAATAAATAAGACAGATTTTTAATTTTTAGCAAAGCCATACATTACTTCACCCATGGATGTTTGGTTAAGTGAGAAACTAAATTTATGTGATTATAAGATCTGGATCATACGAAATATGATGATCATAATTGTGATTTCTATGAAGTATATGGATTAAAAAAAAAAAAATGATCCGAAGTGATTTAAATTATAATCATTTCGCAAGTGTTTTAATCTTAGAACTTTTTCAAAGCCCTTGTTTGATTATCTTCTTTTCAATTATGCATTTTTAATAAAATAATGTTAGACGCAAATTCAAAATTTTTCTTATTTTTTAATCAAAGATTCTTGTCGATCTACTATTTTAAAATGAATTCTAACCAAAAAATGGAAACATACCCTAAAATGTACCAAGCAATGGGAATAAAAAAAATCTGTCACTTAATTAGTATATTCTGTTTTCATATTTCTACTGCATTTTGATGTAATTTTAATACATAAGAGTTGATAAGAATGTTAATAGTATATATTAGAATAATGTTATTCATAGTAAATACTATCGATAATCGTTTTACGTGACATATATGTGATAGTTTGTTATTTGATACATTGATGTGATAGTTTTTTATTGATCAAATAACAAAATGTCTCATGTATGCCACTTTAGAAATGAAAAGAATAAAATGAAGGTTTTTGCAATTATATAGATTAACAGATTAAAATGTATTTTTGTAACGTTTTTATGATGCAGCGTGGTGGTGAGTTGGTATTGCTCTCAGTCAATTTAACATTTTATTAATTTGGGAGACAACAAGTGACGAGATAGTAAAATTTAAAACTAAATTGAAGTTCAGTTACCTAATTGAAACTAAATATAAATTTAGCTATCAAATTGATATTGATACAAATTAAAATTCAGTAACTCTTATGAGATTTAAAAAATAAAAAATCAATGACTGTAGGGCCCAATTTTAAGATCTTATACTGTATGAGTTTTAAGAATTATGAGCTATTTAACATCATTGATACTACAGCACCAATCTGAATGGTGTTAAGTGATAGATTTAATGAACTATAGAATTAAATGATTCATTTAATTATTTCTTCCATTAATATCACATTAATATCACCTAAATTGGTGTTTTAACACCAGTGGTATATCTTCACTCTTATTGTGTGACACAGTTTGACAGGCAATGAGACCTTATTGGCTTCAATTTAATCGGGACGGTGCAAAGAGATAGGTTTAATGAAATATAGAATTAAATGATTCATTTAATTATTTCTTCTATTTAACGTCACATAGACTAGGGTTTTAATACCAATGTTGCTAAGTAGCTTCACTCGTATCGTGAGACACAATTTGACAAGCAGTGAGACCTGATTGGATTTAATTTAGGCCCATGTATAAAATTTGGGTTACTACGTAGTCCAGATTGTTTAATGGGTTTTGTTGGCCAACTTGTGGACTGGAGCCTAAGAAACGTCTAGAGAAATTAGTCCATACGTACATTAAGAGCGTAAAAGTAGCATATTCCATGCCTAGAGCTCTTTAGAACACGATTTATAAACCTTGTATATGAAGTGCCCTTGTTTGGCTTCATTTTATAACTGGTTTATAATTGATCAAATCACTTTTTTGATATACAAAGTATCGTGGAACCAACTAATTTTATTCACTTATCAATTGATAATTGATCAAATCACTTTTTTTATATACAAAGTATCGTGGAACCAACAAATTTTATTCACTTATCAATTGCTTATTTTTATTTATTTGAATTTTAAATCGATTATGTAATTGTACTTCATACCAGCTAAAATAAGATCGCTTGTCAACGAAGTGTGATGCTTAGTCCCATCTTAAATTTCACTTTCTGCCCTAACATCCTTTCATTAAAAAGGGAGATTATCACCCCTTCATGTGACAGTAAGATTACTACCATACAGGCCAATCTTTATCATCTCCGTTGACCGTTAGTAGTGAATAGTTACATAAAGTCTCAGCTACGCAAAAGTGTCACGTGCAAGTTTGCTTGGACTTCCTGAGAATTCTTAATTGCTTTTCAAAGATCTGTATCATTCTTAGTTTTTGATTTAAAGCTGTACAAGTAAGAATATGCATACATGAGTTATATATGTTCAAAGGAACATTGTAAGAATCACCAACTTCTCGGTGCTTCATCCATTGGCTACAAACATTCTTGTGGGTTGGAGTAAAAGTAATCTTCTACCTTTGGTTTAGCTGAAATCACAACTCGACTCGTCGGACACCCCGTACGATTTGCATGAACTTCCTTTATAGTCGATGAAAACTCGTCCCAGCTCAATGATCCATTTTCGTATTGATCGATCAAATCGACCAAAACTTTTCTGTCCAGTAGAATGGTCTTCTTGAAACCTAGATATCTGAAAGATTTTTGGATTACACCAAACTAACAACTTCAGTCACAATGATATGAAAAATGACACATTCTATATGAGTATAGAGTACCTGCGGTGTCCTTCAACAACTTTAGCCATATTCCCATCATATGTGGGAACAAAGATATCACTCTCCAACGAGATGAGATAATCGAGAGCTGCCATCTGAGATGAGTGGTTCTGGAAGAACTGCAACTCCGAAGGCTCTAGCAATTTCTCCTTTCTGACCTGTTGTACAAAATTCAAACTGCATGTTAAAGAGAACTGTCCATATTACTAGAAAAGTATTTGCGAATATCAATATAAGGAGGCGAAAAGCCGGCTAATGTTACTTACTAGATTCCGAAATGCTGCTGCCAAAGGTCTCAATCTCCTCTCTTGGCTGTAAATTTCACCAGCAGCTATGTATATTTGAACGTTATGATCGATACCGAGTGCAGTTAGTACTAAAGCAGCTTCTTCAGGTGTCAAAGGGCATAAACCTTCTCTTCTTTTGAGTTCAGAATCTATGGCTTTTTCCTTCCACCAAGGATTAGCGTGTCTAGTTGTCATCGGTTTTCCACCGGTCAATAAGAGATCACAATTTGAGTACTAGTACATGAAAAGAATGTCTTTTTACGGTTTTACCTCATTCTCGTCAGTTCATCCACCTCCTCGTTGCTGCACCCTCGAGTGCAACCAGAAAACGATAGCATGTCCATTTCATATCTAAGATGGAGGACCAAGAAAGGACCATTTTGCCTCAGAATCCTCACAAGTTTTCGACCCATTTCCTCTATCCGGGCAGTGAATCTCAGAGAATGAAAATTAACTCTACAGCGCAGCTTCTGAATCTCGAATGGTAAATCATTATTAGC